CAATATTCCATCTAGTGAATAGAAGAGCTTTGAAGGGGCAGTGTGAAATGGAAGACTTAAAAAACAGGAAAGGAGCTACAAGAAAGTAGATTATTGCAGGCTGGGCCATTTCCCCTTGGCCTTGGAAGACAAACTGCTTTATCAGGCAGATTACCTTCTTAATGTTGGCTAAGTGATTCCAGACTGGTTAAGATTATATTCCTGTCAGGGTTTGGGAGTTAGTGTAAATCTTGGCATTGTTACAGGGCAGGGAGAGGGCACCCCTGAACCACCAAACCTGCCTGCTCTAGCTTCTGCCATCCACTGCATCAAGACAAGCCATATTTAGACCTTTAATGGAAAGAAACTTTAATACGATCAGTGTGCAATACAGCACACATAAAGGATATAGTTTCTAAATCAAACACCCAAAGTTACCCATCCCCTTATGGATAAAAGTATCTAAAGGGGATTGGCCCAGAGCAAGGCCTGCAAACCGGCCACAAGTCTAAAGCACCCTCTGGCAAGGACCCATAAAAAGGGTCAGAAATGGTTAGACAAGTCTGGGAGGAAAAGAACAAAATCAAGATAAACACTGCCATAGTCAACCTCCACACAGGTCTCTCCCCCACATCTGTTTCAACAGGACCAGGAAACAAGACAAAGCTTCTTTGCATGTCTCTGTGCTCCATGTGCCTCCCTCAGTTCTCCTTCTGGATCCCTATCCTGCTTCCATCTTCTTCCGTCTCCTCTCCTGATTCTTCTCCTCCCTGCTCAGCTCCACCCTCCTTCTAGGAGGGTCAGGGAACCTTTTCCTGGGGACCACCCTGTTAGAGCTTGATGGTGTATGCCTTAGCACAAGTGATTCCATTTTGGGCCTTCTGCCCCTTTTTTAAAATTTAATTTTAGTTATTTATGCATACAAGAACTGGGGTACAGGCCAAGGTGTGGGTGGGTGAGAGGATTCACCAGAGACGGAATGGAGAGCAGAACAGGTAGATTCATCAACATATACTGCTGAGGGGAGCAGCAGGCAAGACAGGAGAGGTCTGCTGCACTATATGGCCAGTTCCCTGGCTGGGGATCAAACTCATGATGCAGTGGCTGGTGATAGCTTGAGAGCACTGAAACTTTAACCCCTGTGCCACTAAGGAGGCATCCTTCTTTCTCTTTTTTAAGACTTTGGAAGACGAGCCACACACTCTGTAATTAAAGTCCAGCTGTCTCTTGTTCCTGGATACAATACTTCTCAGCAGGAAAGGAAAGGATTGCTGCTTTAGATCCTAATTTTGTTTCTTTCCTGCTCTTCCATAACGTTCTTGTCAATATCCTCACATGTTGTCGTGTTTTTATTGGGTAGGAGTAAGGGTACTCCAGGATGCCAGACCTACCTGCTCTAAAGGGGTTCTGCCATCCTCTGCATCAAGACAAAACAAACTAGTACATAAGCCCTTCAGTGGAGAGGAACTTTAATACAATTAGTGTGCTATTGAGAGAAGAGAAGGGAAAGAATATAGTTTTCAAATCAAGCACTAAAACTACCCACCCCCATGTGGGTAGCTAAACCCACAACCAGCTAAACAGGGTTGGCCTAAAGTGGGACTTCTGGGGCCAAAAGCTTTCCCCAAGTCCAAGATACCTTTTGGCATGGAACCATAGAAAAGGGGCAGAAGGGACCAGGCCAGTCTAGAAGGAAAAGAGCAACCTCAAAGTCAAGACAATGATTTTTATCATTATCAACCTGCCCACAGGTCTCTCACCTGCATCAGTTTCAAGTATCTCCTTCCACGCCTCCCAAGCCCCTGGTCCGAGTCCTAGGCCGAGAAGCAAGCGCAGCTTCTTCATTTGTCTCTCCGCTGCACGTGCCTCCTCCAGGCTTCTTCCTTCTCCATCTGTCTCCACTTCTCGGCCCGGTCTTCTCTCTCAGTCTTTTCTAGCTTACCTCCCTGCCCCGCTCCACTGTCCAGAGGGTGGGTCAGGGAAATTGGAACCTCCCCTTCCTTGGAGATTACCCTGCAATAGTGTCGTAGTGTCTCCCTTCTTTGAAACTTGTGCCTGGATTTCACATCCCCTGCATCTGTCGCCCCAATCTCTGTCCCTTTAATGCTCAAACCCACACCTCTGTGAAGGCATTGTCTGGTCTTGGCGTGTGCGAATTCTCCCCTGGAATTCGCCCCTCATCACAGTGGACTCTGCTGTGCCTGCATAGCCTGCGCTTGCCTAAGTTACCTGCAGGCCCTGTGCTGTCTCAGCAGGAGTGCTGTCAAATGGCAAAACTGAAACAACAACACTTAGTAAGGTGTTTGATGAGGTTTGCTCAGGACGAAACAATGAATGGATGTCTCACAGGCAGTGGATCACTGTTCCACGGGGATTTTGGGCAAGAGAGTTTATTGAATGTTAAGAGAGACAGTGTGGAAATAGTATGATTGGCTGGGAGGCCAGGAATGTCCTTACAAGGCTATCAGGTTCTGTTTTCCACGGCACGGCATGGTAAGCTAATGCTAACTGCGACTGGTACATGGTGTTTTTGTTTGTTTGCTTTAATATAAAGGAACCATCTCTTCATCTTTTTTTTTTAAAGATGTATTTATGCATACAGAACCAGGATGCAGACCAGAGGTGTAGGGGTAGTGAAAGAATTCACCAGAGACAGAACAGGCAGATGACGAAGTACACTGCTGAGGGGAGCAGCAGGCAGCAGGCGAGAAGGTGAGATGGAGAGACAGGAGAGGTCTGCCATGCCATGAAAGGTCTGCCACGGCATGAGAGGTCTGCCACGCCATGTGGATTACCTCCAGGGTGGGGATCGAACTTGCACCCAAGCAACTGAAGCTAGATTGCATTGCTGCGCCCTAACCTGTCGTGCTACCAGGGAAGGCCCAGACTTAACATTTTCAAGAAGTGTCTCACTCTCAAGGAAGTCTAGCATGTACCAGCTGCGGGCCCTCCCTTGTGGCGCAAAGGGTAAAAACGCAGCACTGCAAGCCAGCTGCAGCCGCTTCAGTGTAGAGTTCTGTCCCAGCCCCAGAAGTGACCCATATGGGGCAGCAGATCTCTCCTGACCCACCCACTGCACCCCTCAGCAGTGTACATTGTCGATCTGCCTGTTATGCTCCCCACTCCGTCTCTGGTGAATCCTCTCACTGCGCCTCTGGCCTGTACCCCAGTTCTGTATGCATAAATAAATAAATCTTTAAAGAAGAAAATGTTAAATCCTGCAAAATATTTCGCCTGGTTGTCTAGGCCCTGTGTGAGCCAGCCATTCCTACCATGTATGCTTTACCTGGTCTCCTCCTTCCCTCCTATGTTCCAGACACACTGGCCTTCTAGGTTTTGGAATACACCAGTCTCTTATACTCTTGGAGTCTCTTTACATGTTCTTCCCTTGTCTGGAATGCTTGGGCTCTGGCTTGTCTCAGCCTAAATGACACATCTCAGGTAAGGTTCCCAGATGACCAGACCCGAGAGTGTCCCTACACATCCATAACATTGCCTCAGCAGAATGTAGGCAAGAGAGAGCAGGCTGGGTCTGAGAATCGAATGAACTGAGACAGACTAACCAGAGAGACATAGAGTCTTTTACATGTACATAGGAACCCCAGATGAAAACAGAAGGCCAAGGAACCTTCACCTAAACATTTGTATGGTTGGTTGAACTTAGAGAGCAAATGTGGAGCAGTAGTTCAAGTATGTGCAAAGATTAAAGGAAGAGAACAATTATTTTAACAAGTTCTATTTGTACAGAAATCGCTTAGCCTTGGTCCCCTGTGACTGTGAAAAACATAATGTTTTTCTCTTAGTAGAAGAGGGAAGGCATCTTTCATGGAAGAGTTTTATCTCCAGCTTTCAGGAAGAAAAGAGGGGGTCAGAGTGCCCTTCTGCTTTTCAAGTGCCTTAACTCAAAATGATTCTTACTTAGGGCAAAGTGGTATATTTTGGAGTGGCCCATTCTGTCACCCTTCAAGGACATCATGTTATCTCTTCAATGACACTTTCTAGACGTGTATTTATACATTATCATTTATTTCCCCCACCAGAAGAGTTCCCTGACATCCGGAATCAGATCTATTTTCTCACCTGTACGTAATAACAGTGCCTGGCAGTCTTTGCCTATAAGTGCAGTGGCAAGGCAGTGGGTAAATGAATTGATGACGGCCCTCCCACGCCACAGGCTGTTTAACTTGACCCAGGGCCATGCTTGCAGGCTGTTTTCCTGAAGCCTAACCACAGATTTTAACAAGGATTATTATAAAGCCATACAAAAATTGAGTTTACATAGTTTATACGCATAGTTAATGATTCAGTTATTATTTTAACATTTATTATATAATTATATGATTGAGGTCACCATATCATAAGGTGCATGCTCTAATTTCTGTTAGTTTATTATTGCTAAGTATGTTGCTGCCCTTAAAAGAGTTTTTATGCTTTCTCTTATCTGTGAAATGTGAAATAATAACATTTCTCTTTTTGACCTGACTGCCTTGATTTGCTACAGTGTCTGCGGATAGCTTCATAGTGCTGAAACTTAACACCTTGGTCTACCAGTGAGGTCCCTCAAGAGGCCTTTTCTGATCCATATGGCTGAAATCTTCTCTTCTCTCACCACTGAGTTCCATGACTCTGTTTTATTTTCCTTTTAACAATTACCATTTGTAGAAAATGTTCATTTGTCTTCTAGTCTGTCTCAGCTATTTGGGTTCATATCTCTCTAAATTTATTCCTGTATTCCCAGTTTCTAGGACAGCATCCTTACATTATGGGCATTCAGTAACATTTGAATGAATGGGAACTAAGTGGAACATTTTGGTTCACTCCTTAGATGACTTTGAAAAAGTCATTCTCTCTGTTGCCAGTTTTTTTTTTTTTTTACCATACTTTGGGAAAATATGACCAAATGCCTATATAAAATATAATTAATGTAATATTTTAAAAACAAACTTTGGAGCTAAGATGATTGTTCTCAATTGTTCATGATTAGCCGCTTGGGAAAAAATAAATTGGTTTTTCTTTTTTAGGTCAAAGAGCCCCCCGAAATCAATTTAGTGTTGTACCCTCAGGGCCTGACTGGTGAAGAAGTATATGTAAAAGTGGATTTGAGGGTTAAGTGCCCACCAACCTATCCAGATGTGTGAGTACATTTATAAATAACTTTGATGTGATTTCAGTTCTTTGTTTTACAATGCAGAAATGAGTTGAATGAATGGTATTTTCTCCTTCCTACCCCCATTCCATTTAAACTTTAATTCCTAATACCTGTATTTCATCAAAACTATATCAGCAATAGACTTTGTCATAAAACCTATCTCTTAGTTAAGTCTGCTAATGTTTATAGAGTAGTCACAACAGAAACTAATATTTGCTTGAGACTGATTATTTGAGTCCTTTGACATGTTAGCTTTTGTTTGTTTAACTCTTTATAAACTAGAAAGAATAACCACTTAGAAGGAAATGATAAAGGCATGGTGACTTTTTTTTTTTAAGATTTATGTTATTTATGCATACAGAACTGGGGTACAGGCCAGAGGTGGTGAGAGGATTTACCAGGGACAGAGTGGGGAGCAGAACAGACAGACTGATGAAGTACACTGCTGAGGAAAACAGCGGGCGGGCCAGGAGAGGTCTGATGCCCCATGTGGGTCAGCTCCAGGGCGGGGATAGAACTCATGCTGAAGTGGCTTTAGCTTCTCAGTGCTGTGCTTTAACCCGCTGCACCACCAAGGAGGGCCCGGCTTGGTGACTTTTAAAGCTCTTGCTTACTTAAAGTGTGGTTGGCATTAGGACTTAGAGTTTCCTCTGGGCCTAATTGGACTTTCAGTGCTATAGTAACAGAGTAGTTAGAGTCACCCACTTCTGGGCCTCTGCCCGTATGTCTGCACTGCTCAGGCTGTCCTTGGCCACACAAAACATCTAATGTCTGTAGCCCATTAATGTTCAGGCATGTTCTTTAGTTAGACACACAACAGATTCCACATGTTTCCAAGCTCCTCTGGTTCGAAATCACTAGTAGGGCAGAAGCGTTAGCAATCAGGACTCAAGTATTCTTTTATTGAGGTATCCCATATATTCTTGTAATCTTTCCCTCAGATTGGCCTGGATGATTTTTGTTTGAATTTATTGTGCAGAGAACCAGAGGAGGAAAGTGACAAATAAATGAAAACACTGCCTTACCCAGTGGATGGTAAATTTAGGGAATTTGTTATTCGAAGGGATAATGGAAGAGATGAAAATAGATAGGCCACGATGAGCTTCTTGAAGTTAAAGAGTAATTAAATTAATACAGTGTTTCTCTAGGTTTTATTTTTCTTGACACTGAGTGTCTAACAATTCAAATGTAACACTAGTAACTATCCATAGTTTTTACAGACACCTCACAAACAAGACCTCCGATGCCAGTTGCAACTCTCACACTTTTGATTGACTGGCTATAAAGTCATAGATTTCCCTGACCCTTCTTCAGGTTTGATTATTTGCTAAAGCAACTCACAAAACTCACAAAGGCACTTTATTTGCTGTTATCCATTTATTGTAAAGGATAAAACTTGGAATAGAGAATGCAAGAGATGCATAGTGAGAAGTGTTGGGAGGGGCTTCGAGTGTCCACACCGTCTTGACATTGCCAGGTGTCCCATAGAGGACAGTTAGCTCTGGTTCAGAGCCACTACCCTAGAAGATTATGAAGATAACTCTTTGCCCACCTGGTAAACATGTCATGAAATGATTTTTTTTAAGATTGGTTTTATTTATGTATCAAAGAACTGAGGTAAAGGCCAGGGTTGTGTGTGTGTGAGAAGATTCACCAGAAACAGAATAGGGAGCAGAACAGGCAGATCTATTGAAATACACTATTGAGGGGAACAGTGGGCAAGACAGGAGAGGCTTGCTGTGCCATCTGGGTCACCTCCCTGGCTGGGGATCGAATTCATGCTGCAGGGGCAGACAGCTTCATTGTGCTGAGACTTAACCCCTGGTGCTACCAGGGAGATCCTTATGAAATGATTTTTTTTAAAGATTTATTTCTGCATACAGAACTGGGGTACAGGGCCATGAGAGGATTCACCAGAGACAGAGTGGGGAGCAGAACAGGCAGAATAATGAAGTACACTGCTGAGGGGAGTAGCAGGTGGGTCAGGAGAGGTCTGCTCTTCCATGTGGATCACCTCCGGGGCGGGGATTGAACTCATGGGAAAGTGACGTTAGCTTCTTAGTGCTGTGCTTTAACCTGATGTGCCACCAGGGAGGGCCCATGAAATGATGTTTTAAGGAACAACAAGGAGCTGCTTATAAGAAGTAAAACTTATAATATCAGCTACATAAAATTATGAATCATATGGCAAGGGCATAAAGAGAACACTGGAAAATTTCTTTTAAGTTTAATTAGAATTGTAGATGAATTGTTCACCATTGTGTTAATACTACTATATAATGACTACTTAATTTCTTAAAAGTAATTATGTAATTATGGGGAAACATCTATCCACTGAGATGATGGGGTTTAGGGAAACTTGCCTTTTCTGCATAGTAGTCCTTAGTGCTAAGGTGAGGGAGAGGATACTAGGTTAGATGGACCATTATAGACCCAGGACTATATGTCATTTCATTCTTTTTCTCATATGTATAAACATTTTTCTCTCAGATTTCCATCTATCCAAGTTGATAACAACTATAGCAACCTGTCACATTGAAACACTGCAAGAACACATAGATGAATAGCAACAGTAGAATACCATAAGGTAGAATACTCAGAAACGCTTGTTAATGACTCATCAGTAAAATTAAATAAAGCCTGTCTAATCTCAGAAAGTTGTTATTGGGTATTTGTGGACTGGGAATAAAAGGAAACCCTGGCATTAGAGGTATACTTTCCTTGGGTCAGAAGTGTTGACTCTTCGTTGTACACTCTGGACTTGGGCATCCTCAGATAGGCAGAATTTGCAGTGTGCACAAGCAATCTACATAGAAGTGAGCAAGCATTTCCGTCTAATCTACAGTCAGAATGAGTGACTGAGGCTCAAATGTGTTGTGGAGATACTAGATGGCTTTCTGGTCCCGTCTTGCCTGGTGATGCTGTCCTGCTTAATGCTGGAGCACATGAACACCCACAGAACACTTGGGCTAGTGTGGGAGCGCTGTCAGCTGGGTTAACTGATACTGGGCTGCAAGCCAGGCTCAGCATTTTCATAAAAGGAAATACGTGACCAAGTGACTAGGCTAGAGTCACACAGCATTAGAGTGATTTTTTTTTTAAGGTGATAAATAGTGGTTGATATTGGGAAATTTTCACTTCAATTGTAAAGTTGAAATCAGAGATAGAAATGTTGAGGAAATACTGTGATTGAGCCTAAGTAAGTCCACTCGCCTGGGGGGGATGGGTGCCTGACAGCTCACGAAGACCCCTCACCAGCCCATTTCTCCCACACAGGCTGCAGGTGACTTCAGGTCCAGCACTGTGTCAGCAGAGGGACTGGGGTATAGTTGAAATCTTTTCTTTGTTGCAGTGGGTTAAAGTGCAGCACTGTGAAGCTGGCTGGGCCAATTGGGTGTGAGTTTGATCCTCCACCCTGGAGGTGACCCACATGGCGCAGCAGGCGTCTCCTATCTAGCTCGTTACTCCCCACAGCAGTGTACTTTGTGGATCTGCCTGTCTGCTCCCCACTCTGTCTCTGGTGAATCCTCTCTCCACCCCTGCTCCTGTAGCCTGTACCCCAGTTCTGTATGCATAAAAATACAGCTTTAAAAAATATACAGAAACTCAGAGGTGAACCTTCAAGGAGTTCCCAGACCCAGTGCTTGGAATTTATCAAGTATTAATACAAACAGCTATCTTTCTGTAGTAACTCCTTTTTTTTTTTTTTTTCCTCCAGAGTCCCGGAAATAGAGTTGAAGAATGCCAAAGGTCTATCAAATGAAAGTGTTAATTTGTTAAAATCTCGTCTAGAAGAAGTGGCCAAAAAACATTGTGGAGAGGTAAGGTTTGTTTAAGCTGGAATTAGGAGGGTAAAAGTCTCATCACCTTCTCCAGTGTTTGCTTTCTGCCTTTTGTCCTAAAGGTTTTTTCATTGAACTTGAAGTTTTATCTTTTACTGATATCTACAAAGGATAACGTTGTTCTTTGTGTATGTTTATTTATAAATGCCAAATTTTAGATCTATATAGATGGTATGTTAATGTTTAAGCATTTTTTTTGGAAGTAGTCTTTGTGAACCTGGCTATACCTTTTGTACCCTTTAGGCCTGAGTATCATTACCTTATCTTGGCTTGAAACTTGATGTGGAAAATGTGTGCAGATAAGTGATTTCTGACAAATCCATATCAGAAGACCTAATTGTTTTCCTTCTCAATAATTATCCACATACTCTGCTTCAATATACCTGCTATGCCTCACCTTTCACAATCAGTTCAGTACTGATTCTTAAACCTTTGTACACATCAGGGTCTACTTAAGGGTGTCCCTTAGATGGCAGAACTTTGTCAGGAGAGAAGACTAGACAATTTCTTAGGGTAGAGTATTGCTACATGTTCCCAGAACATTGGTTGTTTCCATGTCTTATAAATAATGCTGCAGTAAACATGGGTGTGCATGTATCTTTCCAAGTTTATGATTTTGTTTTCTCTGAATATACTCCCAGAAGTGGAGTTGCTGGAGTATGTGTAGTTCTATTTTTAAGCTTTTGAAGAAACGATTGTTATCTGTGGTGATTGCACCAATTTGAACCCCCTACAGTGTACAGGATTCTCTTTTCTCCACATCCTCACCAACATTTGTTATTTCATGTCTTTTTGATGATTGTCATTCTAACAGGTGTGAGGTAACAGCTAGTGGTGCTTTTGATTTGCATTTCCCTGATGACTAATGATGTGCATGTTTCCATGGACCTATTGGTCATCTGTATGTCTTTGGAGAAGACTATTCAAATCCTTTTTTAATCAGGTGTGGTTATTTTCCTCACACCCTATCTCCTCCTCACTCTGTTAAGTTGCACGAGTTCTTTATTAACTTTTAGATATTAACCCCTTATATAATTTTCAAATATATTCTCCCATCTAGGAGATTGCTTTTTCATTTTATTGATGATTTCCATTGCTATGAAGATGCTTTTTCATTTGATATAGTCTCAGTTGTTTATATTTGCTTGTTTTTGCCTTTTTTAAATAACTGCAGATTCACCTACAATTATAGGAAACAATACAGAGAGATTCCTTATGCACCAGTCAAAACCAAGACATTGCCACTAATAATGTAAAGATACAAAATGGTTCCATCACTATGAGGATGCCTCATGTTGTCCTTTTATTAACACCCCGTTGACATCTGGCAATCACTAGTCTGTTCTCCATTTCTGTAATTTTATCAATTCAAGGATATTATATAAGAAAGCTTATTATTTCACTTAATATAATTCTCTGGAGAGTCATCCAAATTATTTTATATAATAGTAGATTCTATTTTTCATTGCTAAGCAGCATTCCATGGCTTAGATGTACCACTGTTTTATCAGTTCATCAGGTGAAAGACATTTGGATAGATTCCAGTTTGTTTAAAAACAAAGCTGCTGTATATATAATATACCGGTTTTTGTGTGAATGTTGTTTTCATTTCTCCAGAATAAATGCCCAGGAGTGCCATTGTGAGTGTATGGCAGTTTAATGGTTAGTATTTTAAGATCTTGATAAACTTTTACAGAGCTATACCATTTTACATTCCATCTGCATTATCTGAGTGGTCCAGTTTCTCTACAGCCTTGCCAGTATTTGATGTTGTCACTTTTTTATTTTAGCTGTTCAATAGATGTTGTAATGGTTGATCTTATATGTCAACTTGGCAAAGCCATGCTACCCAACTATTTCACCAAATATTTTTCTAGGTGTTTCATTCAAGGTATTTTTAAAATGAGATTAATGTTTGTCAGTAGACTTGAGTTAAATAAATTACTGTCATCTCATCATTTGAGAACTTGAGTAGAAAAAGATCAGCCTCCCTGGAAGAAGAGGGTTTGCCAGGGGGTGGTCTTTGGACTTGAACTGCAACAACGTCCCTTCTCTTGGTCTGTATCCTGACAACCTATCCTACAGATTTGAACATGCCAGCCTCTGTAATTCTGTGAGCCAACTCCTTAGGATAAATCTCTCTGTGTGTCCCTACACATCCTATTGGTTCTGTTTGTCTGGAGTACCCTGGCTGATAAGCGCTGAACTGTGAGAGTCAATGATGTTGTAAATGAGGTCACGAAAGGCCTCTGATTGAGGTGACATTTGAACAGAGGCCTGAAGGAAAGAAGACAGTGAACCATATGGATGTCAGATTTATTTATATAGAAAGTGCTAGTAAATTAAATAGGCCAGCAAAAGAAAAAAATTCCACACTTGTAGGCATCTTTGGTATAGATATATGTATAGAAATTTGGTACAGAAGGCTTGTTCTCCCAGCTTTTCTTAAAAGAACTTTTCTTAGAGGAACTTAGCTCTTAAACTCTAAGTTAGTTTCTCAACTATAAATTAAAGTGTATCTAAGGAACATCACAGCCTCAGGTATGGTTTTATTTAAATACATTAATTACTGCCAACAATGGCTGTGGCTTCTTTGCATTTACTCCCTGAACATCAGGGACCTGATTTTATTTGCTGGTGTGCAGCAGCTTCTGTCATCGTTTGCCATTCTGTGAAGTTTCTATAGAAACTGTGCTGAACATATGATTGAATGAGGAATTATTAAGCTGCTTCGTTGTAACTGAGGAAGAAGAGATTTCAGTGTGATTATCCTCGCTTGCAGAAGGAGCCTGGCACATTTGACCTGTTTGAGGTTGGGAGAGTCTGTCAGTGTGGGAATACAGAAAAGCCTCATTCTATTGACTTACCACCCCATTGTAATGTGGACTCCTAGGGAAGGCAGCGAGTGGCTTCCTGTGTTACACAGGAAGTGGAGCTTTTTTTTTTCTTTCTTTCTTTCGACAACGGTCTGAGAATGCTTCTTTAAGTGAAAAGGAAAGGTTTTCTAAGTATTGACCAGCCTCCAACTGGCCCATTACTAGCAGGGAGATAATGAGACTTTTAGGTATTTGCCTTTGTACTCCAGTGGAATATTTTCAGTATGCTGTGTGGACAGGTAAAAGCTCTGATATTAGCATTGATTATTCTCTTCTCTACTATTATTATGTAGACATTTTTTTTTAATTTGGGAAGGTAGTTTTTCCTTTTATGCAATCTTAAATATTTTATCAGATTTATTTGTAGGAAAAATAGTTTATTGGCTGCATTATGCAGAAAATGCCAATAAATTGAATTAGGACTGCAAAAGAAAAGTTGTTGTTTTTTTAAATCTAGATAGTGATTTGTCCTTATAAGCAACAACAAGATAAGTAAAAGCCTTTCCCTGCTGTGATTGTTTCATATGCCTAATTCAGAATGTGTCTTATCAAAATGAGGTATCACCATTGTAAGTGGAGCACTCATTGCCTGGATGTTTTCCTGTAGCCTCTCCTTTGGGTCATGTCTTCCCACTAGGTGGCCATGTGTGGTTGATTTTCATCTACATGTTTAGGTGATGATATTTGAACTGGCTAACCACGTGCAGTCATTTCTCAGCGAGCATAACAAGCCCCCTCCCAAGTCTTTTCATGAAGAGATGCTGGAAAGGCGGGCTCAGGAGGAGCAGCGGAGGTTGCTGGAAGCCAAGCAGAAGGAGGAGCAGGAGGTGAGACCCCCCCTTGTCGCCACCTGCAGCCAGTGCAGGAGAACTGCAAGCTGTTGTGACTCTATACACTTAAAAAACCTTGTTTTTAGTAATGCATGTGAAATTTATTTCGTATATTTTATTGAGGTAATAGTGGTTTATAACATTATTTAAATTTCAGATCTACATACTTCCCTTTAAGTATGCTCAGCATTTGACCCCAGAAATGTGGCCCTAAGAGAGACTGAGAAATGCTGTGAGCTGTTCCCTCCCAACAAACATCAAGGCTGTCACTGAGACCCTTAGTACAGGTCTTTAAAAAAAAGGAAAGAAGAATGAAGCTTAATCAAGCTTCTTGTGGTCTTTCTGCATTTTCAGCTGTGCATGAATTCCTGCATTTTAGAGCTAAGTGTCTCATTGTCCCATGAGTAACAAAAACCAGAGATTGAACTATTTTTTGTTCACTAACATTTGTGTTTTATCTTTTATCTGTTTGCATTAGGAAAATTCCTCTGTGTTATTTTTAAAATCATTTTCTAAAGACAGTCTACACATCTGAATGCCTGTAACTTATAGTCTTTTTCTCTTTCTTCATTTGGTCTTTTCATCAACTTATCTAGCACTTTTTTTGGTGTGAGTTATGAAACAAAGGTATAGTTTATTTTTTTCCATTTTCCTAACACATTTATTAAATAATCACTCTTAAGTGATTTATACTTCCTATAAAGTATTTTAACTCTTTATATAGACTAAATTCTGTTGATGGATTATTTATCCATCAACAGACTTTATGTGTATATATATTTTTATAATATTTGAAAAGTTAAGCTATGCTTCCCCATCCCATCTCTTCATCTTCCATAATTCTTTGATTTTTTTCTCTCATTCTTAACCACTTATTCTTTTAGATCTATAGGATTGCTTTCTCAAAATCAAAACAAGAAAAATGAGCCCTCTGGGTTTGAATGAAATTACACTAAACATATATATTCATTTAGGAACACTTGACATCTTGACATTGTTCAGATTTCCTAGACAGGAATGTTTATTTATTTATTTTTATCTTTTTAGTTTTCTTTTTTTTTTCTATTACAGTTATTTCTAGGGTTCCCCCCACCCCTGCTTTTCTTAGGTTCTTGCTCCTGTTTCTTTTTTCCCCTGCTTCATTTTCTTTATCTGTGCTTATATTAGCATTGTCTCCTTGTGATATCATTTGTTTTGTTACTACTAATCTCTTGATTAGTTGTCCTTTAGAGTTTGAAGTTCCTTATTTCCATTAACTTTAGAAAGGCACATTTTTATCAGAAGATCATGAATATTTAGCTAAAACTTTGTTTTGATGTACTGCTGCTATACATTTGGGGTATTTTTTTATACTATTACTGTCACATTTTTTATGAGACTTAATGGTTTTTGATATTTATGACCTTTTGATAATTAATGAATTTTAAAAGAGGGCTCTTATAAAACAGTATTTTTCCTTACCTATATTGAAATCTATTTGAGCAATGGCTACCTGAGTCAAGGGGCTGGAGATCAAAATGCAGAGACAGCCAGTTGAATAATGCAGCTGAAGATCAGTGCTGTGTGGAGGCAATAGCTTCTCTCACCAGCCAAGTACAGGCACCGAGGACAGCTCAGTCCACCTCGAGCTAGTAGGGCCCGCACTGTGGAGAAGAGCAGGCACAAGTGTCCCTTCTCTGCAGACAAGCAGATTTCAAAGAGGAGGAACAAGCCAGGTGTGGGGACACTGGAGAAGCCAACCTGTTGCCTCCACATAGGAGTATGAAGAATTAGGAGTGAATGTCTCTCACCACATAGTTTAGAAACCTATTGAAATGGGAGCGCCTAGTATAGAAAAGTTCTAATAAAATTAAAACAACTACAGCCTGAATTAAGTTTTTTATGTTCAGGACTCTTAGGAAAGGAGGGCTTCGATTATTGAAACTCAAAAGATTTATGTGATTTCAGAATTTATATGTTGTGTGGATTTTCTAAGATTGACAGTTGATGATGGTGTGACTTTTTGCAGCAACGTGAAATCCTTCATGAGATTCAGAGGAGGAAAGAAGAAATAAAAGAAGAGAAAAAAAGGAAAGAAATGGCTAAGCAGGTACTCGATCAATTCTAAACTAGTGTATTCTTTTTTTTTTCCCACCCTCTCGCAGCTTGGGATCCACTCAGCTAGGTTGTCTCAGTATATATCCAGGGCTTTATCGGGGCTACTGGGGCAAAGAACAGCAATACATCTGTGGCGTATCCTAGAGTCTGGGCGCCTGGTCTCTCCCTGATTCAAGCTGTAGTCTTTTCCCATAATTTGGCTTCCTCTCCCTTGCTGAGTGTCTCAGTTTATCTCCAGGGCTGTCGCAGGGATGTGGCAAAAAGGCTCCATAAGTCTCCCTCTGCCTGGCATCTGGGCGCCCTGGCACTCTGTGATCAGAGCTCCCCGATCGGGGCTCCCCAGTCATTGAGTTTCCCTCAGTTACCTTCCTTCTAGTGAGTCCAGGGTGTTCTCATTTGGGTTGAGACTTGTAGTACCTAATACTGTCCGTTTTTAATCTTAAAATCCTATGAGCGTTTGGAGGTAATGATTTCAGTGTCTTCACTCTGTCACCATCTTGCCGTGAGAAATAAACTAGTGTATTCTACTAAAATAGTTTACATAAAACTGTTTGTTCACACTAAAGAATGAATGCAAACCGTGTGGATCTACCAACAGTGACATTCACTGGTTGGAGAATTCAGAAGAGTAGGTTTAAAAAACAGAGGTGAAAAAGAATGAAGCCCTTTTCCTATATTTTCCCTAAGTTCAATTAAAAAAATCAGTTATAGGACCCTCCCTGGTGGCACAGTGGGTTGGGACACAGCATTGCAAGCTATGGCAGCCACTTCATTTTGAGTTCAGTCCCCCACCCCAGAGGTGATCCACATGGCACAGCAGACCTCTCCTGACCCGCCCGCTGCTCCCCTCAGCAGTGTACTTCATCACTCTGCCTGTTCTGCTCCCCACTCTGTCTCTGGTGACGCCTTTCACCACCCCTGCACCTCTGGCCTGTACCCTAGTTCTGTGTGCATAAATAAATAAATCTTTTTAAAAATCAGTTACATTATAATATCATAAATTAAATCTAAAAAAAAAATCCCTGTTACACATGTTTGGGAAAATCCAGAGAAAATTTCATTCTTTCTCTGCTTCAGACTCATGTCATTTAACGTAAGGAAAGCTATGAAGTATAGTGGGAGGACTTCAGATATAGCTGCGAGCAGCACCCATCTCAGTGCTTAGATTTTCACTGCCTAGCTCTGTCACCTTGACAGGTGACAATTTCTGTGACTCATTTTCCTCATCTCCTAAAATGGGGCTGCTAACGCCTCCCTTTCTGGCTCATGTAATCATTCCCACTGATAAATGTACTGCCCTCTGTGAAAGTACAAAGCCATGTACCACTGGAAGATAATGTTCCTGTTTCCAGGTCTCCTGTCTCCTAGCTGATCCACCTCCGTCAGCCTCTGCTCTCTTTGAATGCCTTCTGTTCATCTCCTATTGCTCTTTTCCCCAGCTTTTCACACATCTTCCAATATTCTAAGCATTTCATTTATAAAATTTGGAACAATAACCTGTCCTTAAGTGCTTGAACCAGAATATCTTTGGATGTTAAATTTTTGAAAGTTGATTTTCTCTTTATTAGACTTGCAAGCATTCAGCTTTAGTAAAATTTGTACTCTAGAGTGAACTTACAATTATGTACTATGATGACCTTTTGTTTATAACTCACATTTAAAGTTGGTTTTACATTTCTTTTTTTCCAGGAACGTTTGGAAATTGCTGGCTTTACAAACCAAGATCAAACTTCAAGGAAAGACTTTGGAGGACACAAAGCAACTGCCATCCTGCATGGAGGCTCTTCTGACTTCGTAGGAAATGGTAAACATCGGACTAACTCCTCAGGAAGATCCAGGTAAGTGCCTGAGATTTCTGATCTGAGAAGATGAAAGGTTAAAATAACTGTAGCAGGGAAACTGGGAGGGAAATACTTGTAGTGAAACTTGATGCATTCTTCAGGTAATGGTTCTGATAACCTTTTCAAAAGTCTATATACCTTATACTGTAAAACGGTTTTTGTTTACTACTTTCCAATAGCTTTCATGGAAACAGTTTTATAACTCACCCTCCTTTATAACGTCATGATCTTGCCTGCAGTGTAGCTGGACTGACTTTCAACAACCTATTTTCGAAAAATTTCTTCCACTTGAGTTATCATTCACTCAAATTTCACGTTATATATGTCAGTCTAGAAGTCTTTAGGTCCCACCATGGATGTGGGGAATGGATAAAGGAGTAAAAGACCTTTCCAGGAGCCCCAGTTTGCTGCCGGAGCTCCCCTCCCTATTGTTGCTGAGGTCACTGAACTCTGTCCTGGCAGATAGGCTCCTGGGTCATTCCCTGACCAGAGGTCACATGAAAGATACCACCTCTTCTCATCTGTCTTTTTCCACAAAAATATGATAGTTCCCCCACCTGTTAGGCTGTGAACCCCTGTAAACCAGCAGGGAATGTTAGTGCAAAGTTAAGTATGAGTAGGTAAGTGATTAAGGGGTGTAGACATCATGGTTCAGCTTGATTATGTGTTTAAACTATTTCTTATGAGAATCTAGTGAGCACTGTAAACCAACATGTTTTATGAAAAGAAAGTTTTTAAGTACCAAACTAAAGCATATATGAACTTTTATGTGATAGTCTTATTTATAGGAAGGGACCTTTACAGTTCCTTCCTAACCATTTGCTTTTTTAAAATATCAGTAATCATGTTGATACTAACATGTAACCACCTATGTTAAGGTACACAACATGTTTTTTAAATACTATTTCTAGTAACAGATCTATTTTAGGGCTGTAACTCATACTAATCTAGATGACAGTAGTTCCCCCCCTTATCCTCAAGGGCTGGTTCCAAGACCCCAAGTGGATGCCTAAACAGAAGATAGTACCAAACTCATGAGTAATGTTTTTTTTCTATACATACATACATACCTATGAAAAAGTTTAACTTATAAATTAAGCATAGTAAGAGATTAACATCAATAGCTAATAATAGAACAGAGCAGTTACAATGATCCTGTAAGAAAAGTTATGTGAAGGTAACCTCTCGATTTCTAATAGGAGACAGTGTGAAGTTGTCAAGAGTAATTCCACTAGGAAATGCATGATGCATTCCAATTATGCTGGAAATAGCAGAAGTCAGTCAGTGCTATGAGTAAGTCTTTGGGTGTATAGAAAAAATTTTAAGTTTAACCATTTCCGTTTTTGTGGCTAAAATCAGTGGGTCCAAGATTAGTCTTACTGTTGAGAGCAAAGATCATTAGCAAGTTTATTCAAGGAAGGATAGGAAATTTTCCCTCCCTTTAACTTAGTGGAACAACTTTTTGTGTAGTGTTGGAGTGACATTGTGCCCTGTGAGTGTCAGAAGTATATCTGATAGAACAACATTCCATGAATGTCCAAGAAGGAATATGAAAGAAATAGTTTTCATCTATTGTTTGCAAAGGTTGTTGCACATACCTGCCTGGAACTCTGGTACTATGTTGGTTACTGCCTTCCAAAGGACTCTGTTAAAGTGTTGCTCACATGCATCTTTGGTTAAGATGTGAAAAGTCCTGGATACTCTGAAGTATTTCATGATATACTCTTTTAAAAAAAAATTTATTTATGCATATAAGAGCTAGGTTGCAGGCCAGAGGTATAGGGGGTGAGAGGATTCACCAGAGACAAAATGGGGAACAGAATAGGCAGAGCCACTGAAATACACTGCTAACGGGAGCAGTGGGCAAGGCAGGAGCAGTTTGCTGTGCCCTGTGGGTCAGCTCCCTGGCGAAGATCGAGCTCAGGCCATTGTGGTGGGCCTTCATGGTTGTAGCACTGAGATTTAACCCCTAGACCACCAGAGAGGCCCACTCAATTGGGCCTCATATACACTTGATATTCTTTTTCTTACTTGCTACTTACTAGCCTTTACGGGTTGGAAAATCAAAAGAAATGAGCACAATCTTCCATTTTATTCTCTCAATGGATACATTTTTTTGTTACCATTATTGAAGTGTCATGATTTTACATCTTTGCTAGTGTTTTGACAGTATAAGATTTTCCCTCCATGTATAGTCACCATAGCCTTCCCACTACCGAGTACCCATAGTTCTCCACCATAGTCCACTGTATTCTCCCCCATTTGTGGATACATTTAGTAGAGTTAGTTTATAGATTTTATTGCTTTTAGTCACAGCCAGTTCAAACACTGCCTTACAATACTGACTTACTGTAAGGCAGTGTTTGAACTGGCTTTGACTAAAAGCAATAAAATCTAGAACCATTTACTCATTCAACATAGATGTTTACTAAATTCCAGACACTGTTTTGAGTCGTGAGGATTCAGTGAGCAAGAACGACTCCAGTTTCATGGAGAAGATAGTCCACAATCAAATAAGAAAATGTCAGATAATGGCTTGTGCTCTGTAAGAATTAAGATAGGCTGTGCTGAAAGACCAATTTAGATTAGGTGCTTGTGGGATTGACTCTTTAGTCCTAATTTAGTACTAATTCTTAAGGAGAATGGCTTTAGACTGGTGGGATTCTGGGTCTGCATGAAAAACAACTGGTGCACAAGGCCCAAAAATGGCCTGGGCTTATCATGCTCCGAGCTCATCACGTAGGACAATGGCTAGAACTGGCGATTGCAGGGGAGGGGTAGGTCAAGGAGGTGGGGGAGGGGGGGAAAGGGGGGCCCCTGATAATGTTTTCTTACTGGAACACTTAACAGTTTCATGTTAGTACTTCATAGTCAGTGATGCAGTGATTGAATTCCAAATACCTTAAAGCCAAATATTTACACACTCTAAAGAGATGACTGAGACTTAATTAGCTATTACTACTTTCTTTTTTTTTAAATATTTATTTATGTATTCAAGAACTGGAGTACAGTGAGGGGTTGAGAGGATTCACCAGACAGAGTGAGGAGAAGGACAGGTGAACAGACTGAGATTTGCAGGGTGTTTAGAATATTGGGACACATGTATGATATGAGCGATATGTATCATAATATTTCTTGTCAGCATTGTTTGAGGGTGGTTTGTGGAAAGGGATTATTATATGTAGGATTGGAGGTTGAGAGATCAGTTAATAATGGATGGTTGCATGTATCCATGAGAAAGTTGGTAAGAACCTAAAGAGTGCAAAGGAAACAGGAGGAAAGGCTGGTCTTGGGAATGAATTAGATGCAGAAGATCTAGGAACTTGGGAAGATGCAATCGTTTTTGACCAGTAAGACAGAATGGTTGGCTATGCCTCCGACCCAATAATAAAACCAGAGGGAAAAATCAGAGTAGGTAGGAGGGAATTGACGGGTTTTTTTTTTTTTTCACATTGCAGTGGCAGGAGGAATAAGTAGAAGGAGCAGAGGTAGAGACAGAAAGTGGAGAAATCTTAGAATGCACAAAAGGGGGTGAGGGCACAGGAGTGAGGATGTGAAGTGTGGAGATGGGAGGGGTTCCAGGCTTCTTGCTGCTATCCCACCGAGAGGCGCGCTGACCACTACGTTTGCCTGAATGTAGGAGACTCAGAGCCGCAAGAAGGTGAAACAGGAGTCTATAGAGTCTGGAGTCTGTTTATTAGAACGACGCATGAGTATTTATAGGGTCTGACATGCCTTGTACTTGGAGAAAAACAGGAAGTGTACCCAACGCAGGGATGGGGTGCATGTTTGTACAGGGCCTGATGGCTTCTTGCCGTTTCTGCTAAAAACAAGGTAGTGGGCTACAGCTGATTGCAGGACAGAGTGCACTGTGCTCTGCTGACTTGTTTGTTGGCCTTACTGGGGAGTGTGCTGATCCATGCACAACATCAGCCAGGACAGACAGGTACAGTTGAGGTCCTGTCAAGTTTGCCACACAAGCTGAGGAAAGAAACCAATAAGAGAGACAGATTGGATACAAAAGACTGTTGGAGCAGCACCCTCAAGGAGATTGTAGGGAATGGAAATAGGACAGGGAGCTGTCTGTCAGAGTCTGGGATGTAAGCAAAGCATGGTACGACGCCAAGTAACTTTATAGATGGAGCAATAGGCAGTGTGGGCCTCACTGCCCACTGCCTCATCTTCGCAGTGAAAGTGTAGGAGTCAAGGTCATGCTTAGAGTGAGAGGGCTGCTCTCCAGCGATCTATCCATGTGCTACCTCATCAGAGCATTTCTTAGAATTGTCCAGCCCTGACTACCAAGTACTCTCTCCTTTTCCTCTTCTCTGCATCTCCCTCCCCTGCTTTATTCATTTGTATAACTTAGCTCCCTGCTAGGAGAAATGGTAGGAAAAAGGAAGGAGACAAGGGGATTGGGCTTTTGAGTGTTTTTGAAGAGGTCCTCGGGTAACAGCAGAGAGTTTCTATGAAAGACAAATAAGAGAATGAATGAGCATTTAGTGGTTGGTACTCCAGAACTGAATCAATAGTACTCCAAACCCCTGATTTGAGATGCATGTGCTGAGGAATTGACCCCAACCCCTGAAATTCAGTGCCATGGAAATGCCCTGTGTCAGTGCTATCCCATACAGTAGTTACTAGCCACCGTGGCTGTTGAGTACATAAATGAAGCTACCGCAGTTGAAGAACTGACTGGTTAGCTCAGTTTAAATTTAAGTAGCTAATGTCACGAGTAGCTACCTTATTGGACAGCACAGATCTGGAGTGAGGGGTTTGGAGAGTTGATGAAAAGACCTCAGTGGGAAGTGGAGGAATGCAACAACCTTCCATCAGCACGTTCAGCCCAGCTCCCAGTAGCAATGCACTGTGAATGGACTAGTAAATAGGAGAAAACGTAGGGAAGAGAGTTTTCCTGTGTTAACCTTGAGTTAAAGAAAAAAATTATTGTCCAAATTTATTTTTTAAGGAGAGAACGTCAGTATTCTATATGTAGTAGTGAAGATTCTCCTGGCTCTTGTGAAGTCCTGTATTTCTCTGTGGGTAGTCCTGATCAGCTCATGGTGCACAAAGGGAAATGTATTGGTGAGTAAACTAGCTAAATTCATTTGAATTAATCTAACAACAAAAGGTAATATGCAAGAATGGGTGAGAATAAGTGCTGTGTCATCTACACCAAGTGCTGTGTCATCTACACTAGGAATACCCTTAACACCTATTCAGTCATTTTAACTCTCGCATTCCAGGGGCCACAAGGAGAAGTCACATAGGTTTCCCTGTGTCTGAAATGGAAAGAAAAATCTGTGTGTTTGGAAATCTGCAGCTAGCAAGGAGATATTTTAAAATGTGTCATAATTAGTCAAGCTTTTGGAAGCCAAATGTCTGAAAGAAACTGAATCAGTAGAATTTTGCATCAGATATATCTACTGCTGCTAAGTTATGTGTACCAAATGAGTTCCTGTACTTGTGATTTTTTTTTAACAAAAGACTTGCTTTTAACTACATGCCCACAGAAAGTGAAGCTCACCTATGATCTTTAATGACCAAGTTGAGGTCCATTTGCTTACCATTATCTTACTTGACACTGTTGTATCTGACTAGGGAAGCCGTTTATTTCCTATATGCCTTATGTTAGCAGTTTTGTCTACTGATGGCTATTTAAAGTAAGCTACTTCATCAATTCTGGATTTGAATAATTTATGCTAACATCAGGCTTTCAGTATCTGCTTTCTTTGCCCTAAATGTATGTCTTTTATCAGCCCTACAGATATAACCATTAGTTCCTGTGGAGATCAGTTGATATACCAAACTTGACAATTAAGTTTCATTTGCATCCCATGAGTAGAGAGTGAACAAACCAAACTATCCGAATTGAGTTCATTTTTTCCGTGCCTTTTCTCCTTCCTCTTTAAGGAGATACAGAAAAGCAAGGGAGCTACCAAGAAGCCAGCAGCAGCTGGAAGGAGAAGAAAGCAAATAGCTGAGTAGTCTGTGAATTGGACTCTTAACCTTGACTCTGAAAGCAGCCAGGAACGTAAAGGACCCTGCACATACAGGGTCTGCTATATTCAGACAAAGCAACCATTTGGGTAGAAAAGACTGGCTTTGGGCTTGAGACTGTTCTTGACTCAGGGGCACTTCAGACTCATGAATTGGCAACATCAAACTCACTACTTTTAATAAGCTGGGGAAATCGGAAGGCAAATTAATACAATCGCTTTTTACCTTAACTAGGTCTCTTATTCTCGCTGGTACTCATTAGAAAGATTCGCCTTAATGAATACCCTCATTAGGAGACTCATTTACAGTTTGGAAGATTTTTATAAAACCAAGTAAATTATTTATTTTCTTTTCTCACAGAGTTCTAATGTTTTAAATAAGTCCTATTTTTAATGATTTTAAAAAATCAACTAACATTTTTCAAAGTAAGACTATTAAAACTAGAGAGAACTGAGAACTTCATTATGGTTATGGATAAAGCATTGCAGAGACCTTAAAAGAATCATTGTTAGCATTTAGTAGTTCTTTTGGTAACACATTTTTCTTCTCATTGTAGTATGTTCTTTTGTTCCTTTCATTATCCCCATCACACACAAGCAACAAGAAAAGAGTAGTTATAATATAATAACAGCAACAATAATAAACACACACACACACACACAAAGCCCTAGCCAGCAGCTGTGAAATACCCACAGTTCCCAATTGGAGAGCTAAGTATTGCACACATTGCACACATAAATCTAATTAGACTTTATGTAAATAATATCACACTCCATCCCATAAGCATGTAAAATTATGTCTCCAGCGTCTCGACTTGGAGCCCACATTCCACAGATTGCTTCATTTGGTTGACAAATTTTCAAACACTAGGGTTTTTCCCCTTAGGCAAGACTATTAGGAGTTACTTATGATTACTATTATAAGTCATTTTAATTAAAATTTCTTAAATGCCTGCATTTCTGTGAAGTAAAAACTGCTTGTCAAATAAAAAGTCTTGGTGAGCCAGCATTCTCCAGAGTGTTTCTGCTGAGACCACTTTGTCTTATATACCCAGGCTACTTCCTGTCAGTTTTTTAAGTGGAAAAAATAATTACCATTATTTAATTTTTTTTTTCATTATGAAGACAATGCAGCATCATGGAAAGCTATAACTTGCATACTAAGAGAAAAATAATACTCTATATACTCAGCTGGGGCAATTTTGTACTCCTGGAGATGTTTGGTGAAGCCTGGAGACACTTTTGAGGGCTAAGGTTAGGGTGGGGGGACCACTGGCATCTAGTGGCTAGAGGCCAAGGATGCTACTAAGCATATTCACAGCACCTAAGACAATCCTTTCAACAATTTCCTGTTCAAAAATGTCAGTGATGTTAAAGGTCAGAAACCCAATTGCATATACTATGACCTGACTAAAAAGGGGATACAACAAAATAAGGATTTGTGGTTGATATTATCCTCCATTTCCAATATTTTGTTAATTTTCTATTTAGAGTCTATTTTTATATGTGTATCTCTATACTAGAGATCACTTTCTGTGATCTGATTTAATCAAAATACAGATTTTATTTTTATAACAAAAATTTTGGTGATACAGAAATTAACTTTTCAGGTATAAGTAGAGATCATATACCCATCACTGAATAAATATGTGTATCTAGTTTTAAATTTAATCTGTTGTTTTTGGTTCATGTCCTCCAAACCATTGCCTGGTTGATATTTACTGAGAATTCAAAAATTGTATATTTAGATGCTCATTGATGCATTTGAATTTTCCTGTTACTAAAACTTGTTTTAATCATGCACTCTTATCTACACTATGGAATAGTCTTGAGGGAGTATTCCTGTTTCCAAATTCCATTTGTCACATTCATTGCCACTTAGCTGTAGCAGCAGTGTGAATAATAGTCAGTAGAAGAAAACATTGATTTAACATTAAAGATCTCCTTATTGATTCCTGTCCTTTTAAAAGAAGTACTATTTTGGGGCTCCAAGTATATTATTAAATGTTAAAAGTTGGTTATAAAATAACAAGTGTTACCTAAAATGCTATTTTTCATAGGTAGCACGTGGTACCCACTATTGAACAAATTAATTTTTATACCCTTTTTCTTTACTTCCACAGAAAATGTACCAGTAAGATTTAATTACGTTTTCTTTTAATGTGCAGGCAGTGATGAACAGCTTGGAAAATTAGTTTACAACGCTTTGGAAACAGCCACTGGTGGCTTTGTCTTGTTGTATGAGTGGGTTCTCCACTGGCAGAAAAGTATAGGTCTTTTCCTTACCTGCCAAGAAAAAGAGAAGATTGACAAGTGCAAAAGGCAGGTAAGCATTTGAGATGACCCTGCTGAACAAAAGACCTAATCTTGAGCTTTCAGAGATGACAACAGAATAGCTCTGCAATTGATTGATTCTGCAATTGAATATGATTCAGAATAATGTTGAGAGAGCTGTTTAACCAGAAGGACTTGGCAGGCCAACCCTTCTTTGCTAGGCTTTTATCAGCCTTTATTAAGATATTAATAGCTAATCTCACAATCTAAGATTAAACAGTACTTCATAATTGTTAATCCGTATTACTTAAACACTAATCCTTAAACCCTTAAGAATGTGTAATACTGCAAAATGTTGAATAAATGCAGACATTCCCTTTTTACACCTCCATGAAAAATATACCAGACATTACAAAACAGTGTACAAAACAAAATATTATATCTAGAAATGTATGTACTTAGAGTTGAAAGAGAAACTGGAAGTAAATAAACTGAAATCACAGCAGCTGTCTTTGACTGGTGACCATATAGATCATTTGTAGGATTTCTACTTTGGTATTAGTAACATTATTAACATTTTACCAGTAAATGTTTATAGTTGTTTTATATGTTGTTTTAAATGTTTATATATATATATTTAAATTAAAGTGTTTGGGCATCCCTGGTAGCATTGGGGTTAAGTTTCAGTGCTATAACGTTATCATTGCAGCGGCCACTGCTCCCCTCAGCAGTGTATGCTGCTCTTCCCTCTGTCTCTCAACCCCAAGCCTGTACCTCTAGCCTATATCCCAGTTCTTTTATGCATAAATAAGTAAATCTTTTTTAAAAAAATTAAAGTTCTTTTTCTCTGGTGGCCATATTGCAAAAGAAATTGCTTTTAAAAGCTGGCCACTGATTTTATAGTATTTGTTCACTAGTATTTGTTCATACTGCTCAAAGATATTGAGAATTAGGGCTACCCCTGGTGTTGCAGCAGGTTAAAGCGCAGCACTATGAAGCTGTCTGCAGCTAGTATAGAACAAGTTTGATCCCCAGAGAGGGAGATGACCCACATGGTGCAGCAGACGTCTCTCCTGTCCTGCCCACTGCTCCCCTCAGCCGTGTATTTCAATAGATCTGCCTGTTTTGCTCCCCACTCTGTCTCTGGTGAATCCTCTTACCCTCTGCACCTCTGGCCTGCACCCCAGTTCTTGTATGCATAAATAATAAATCTTTTAAAAGATACTGAGAATTAACAAAATACTTTCATCTTTATGAACTATTACATTGGCCATATGACTCAGGGAGGGATTCAGTTCAAGGCATATTCCTTCTCTCCTTTTAAACTATATTTTCTATATATTTCACTTAAATGAAGCACCAGTTAATGATGATCACCCAGATGTTACTGTTTCTTTTTCCTTATCAGATTCAAGGAGCAGAAACGGAGTTCAGCTCATTAGTTAAATTGAGCCATCCAAACATAGTACGCTACCTTGCAATGAATCTCAAAGAGCGAGACAACTCCATTGTGGTGGACATTTTAGTGGAGCACATTAATGGGGTCTCTCTAGCTGCACACCTGAGCCACACAGGCCCCATCCCTGTGCATCAGCTGCGAAGGTATGCAGTTCAGCTCTTATCAGGCCTGGATTACTTGCACAGCAATTCTGTGGTGCACAAAGTTCTGAGCTCATCGAATGTCTTGGTGGACGCAGAAGGCACCATCAGGATTACTGACTACAGCATTTCTAAGCGCCTGGCAGACATTTGCCGGGAGGATGTATTTGAGCAAACCAGAGTTCGGTTTAGTGACAGCGCCTTACCTTATAAAACGGGGAAGAAAGGAGACGTTTGGCGTCTTGGCCTTCTGCTGCTTTCCCTCAGCCAAGGACAAGAATGTGGAGAGTATCCTGTGGTCATCCCTAGTGACTTACCAGCTGACTTTCAAGATTTTCTAAAGAAGTGAGTGTCATTGAGATTCTTTATCATTGTATGCCTATACTTCTGATTGTGTTTGATTTACTGGCCATCAAAACACTATGCTGAAATAGTGAGGCACAGGCTTAGTTAATTCTTTTTTCTCCCAGTCCTTTCCCAGCCACCTATGTCCTATTTTCTTGTTTATGTTTATTATCCACTTAACTCCCACATTCTCCTGAATTCACAAGGACTTCATAGTAGATTTCAGTAGCTCTCCTGCTCACCTATTACTATGCAGGTACCACTGTTTCTTTCTTTTTCTGATAAACTTTTTAAATCTAAAACATAAATAAATAATGGATTTTCTTACTTTTGAGGGACTGCTTGGTATTCAAAAAATAAGGGGACCTAGGTCTTCCCAATGGTAAAACCTCACTGACCATCTTTGCTGTAGATTCCTAAAGACCAGCATGTCAGAGACAAGGCCTCTTACTTAGAAAACGGCTTTCGGAGTTCAATTTTGCCCTTTGTCCATTAGTAAACATTCTTCTCAGTGTCTCATTCTGCCAAGTTGCAGAATGCCGATGACTTCCTTGCTTTATTCAGAGAACTTTTGGAAGGTAGCTATGCTCACCACTGTACCACCAATGCTCGAGCTCATCCAGAGAAATTTTGATACCTGTAAATGAAAGGTTCACATTCAGTTACGCAACCAAGCTGTATCTGTTTGGAGAGCAGCCTTTCCAAGAGCTTTTCTTGGGCCTGAAGTCTTTGTCACTCCCTTTGATTCGGTGTAGTCTAGTTTAGCCCATCCTTTTGTTCTCTTTTCAACCAGACCTGGGTTCTCTCAGTTTCTCAGTTAAATGGGAAAAAAGATGCCGGTCTGTGTTTTTTGATACCTCCTTGGCCCAGATTTCTGGCAGAAGTTGACCTGTACTTGTTTCTTCCCTTTCTAACACTTGTTTCTTTCCTAGTTTCTTTTTCTCAACCATTCACTTTTATTCATTATAGCCCCTCCCTACATTTTTTTTCTTTCTCCCATCACATTTCTTTTCCTGTTCCTATCTATTGCAGCTGCCATTTAACCTGATCCAATTGTTATTTCCTGTCACTTATAATCTTACCCATTACAGCAATAAAAGTGGCTGCCTTATATTTAAATAAGGTCATTTGTGTGTACCATAAAATATAGGTAGACAGGGCCTCCCTGTTGGCGCAGTGGGTTAAAGCACAGCACTAAGAAGCTAAAGCCACTTAAGCATGAATTCGATCCCCGCCCCGGAGGTGATTCACATGGCATGGCAAACCTCTCCTGGCCTGCCCGCTGCTCCCCTCAGCAGTGTACTTGTCAGTCGGCCTGTTCTGATCCCCACTCTGATGAATTCTCTTACCACCCCTGCACCTCTGGCCTATACCCCAGTTCTGTATGCATAAATAGATAAAATCTTTAAAAGATATATATATATATATCTACATATATATATATATATATATATATATATATATATATATATATATATATATATATATGTAGGTAGACAGGATAACATAAAATGGTTGAGAGGACCAACTTTGGTTCTCTATTCTGTTTTCTCATTAAAGTGATATTATATCAATACTATATTATCATCAAATGACTATGAAGAAATATTTTATGATTTCTCTTAAGTGTAGTAAACTTGTAAAAGTATTTATTTAGGGGGTGAGGGTAAAGGTGGTTTTAAAAAAAAGAGTATTTAGATGCACCCTAATGATAAAGTTGATTAAAATAATATTGGAAGAAATATAATGATAGAGTCGCTGACAGACTTATTTCATTTTTCAAAATGTTGCCTTCAGCCTTCAGCCCATCATCATTGGTCCAGTATTCCAGTAAAAGTTAACAATAAGAAGTATTTTAAAATGTTGGGAATACATACAGAACCTCTTTCATCTTTAATAACAAAAGGACTTACTCCTTTAAAACCCACCTAGTTCTGTTTGTACAAAAAATAGCTCTACAATCAATGTTGGCTTTGAACTTGAGATCAACACGTTTTTGACAAGAAGATCTTAAAACTCCTAGCATTTTCTAGAGGCTGAGAGTAGCAATAGCAAAGATGTCTCATGTCTTTTAATAGCAAAGATGTCTCATGCTGGATCCCACCTAAGGGTGGGGGCCTGTTGCCAGGAGAACCAACCTTGTGATGGATTGGAGGCTTGGTACTTTTAGTCCCACCCCTTGACATCTAGCATGGGCACAGGAGCTGGAGGTTGGATTATCACCAGTGGCCAGTGGTTTAGTCAATCACAATACCCAAGGGGACTTGGTTCAGAAACTTCCCCAGTAGGTGAGCACAATGAGGTACTGGGGGCATGAAGTCCCCACACACTTTCCCTGCACATCTTTTCCATCTTGCTGTTCCTGAGTTGTAGCTTCTCATAATCAACTAGTAACCTAGTGAGTAAAATATTCCTTTGACCCTGTGAGCTGCTCTTGCAAGCTGATCCAACCAAGGAGGAGATTGTTGAAACCTCTGATCTATAGTTAGTGAGCCTGAAGCTCAGATGACAACCTGGACCTGAGATTGGTGTCAGAAGTGAGGGCTGGGGACAGTCTTATACGGTTGAACCCTAACCAGGGGAGGGGGAGGTCTGATGCTGTGTCCAGGTAGTGTCAGAACTGAGCTGATTTCTAGAATACCCAGTCAGTGTTGAATTACCTGTTGATGTAAAGAAAATGCCCTCTACCCCCCACACAGTCCCCATGGTAGATTTGAGTGAGTCTTTTTGGTCAAATCAAAAAAGCAGATTGAAAAATGCATGTATAAAATGTCATTTGTGAAAAGTAAGTATCCATACAATTGTATCTTTTGTTTAAGTGGCTATCAAAAATGCGATTACTATCTCTAATATTTGAAGGAGAAGATATTCATGTTTTATTGATGTGATAAAAATTCATTTAAATTTTGGGGCAAATCTTAACAAAAATCGTTCAAGGTATGAAATTAGTTTATTTTTACATCGTTTTGTACATTTTTTTTTTCATTTCAATTGTAATTCCCGCGGGTTTCCCATCACCAAGTCACCCGTGTGCCATCACCATAGTCCCGTACACTTCCCTCCCCCCACCTCTCTTCCCCCAGGTTTTGATCCCGTTCCCCACTCCACTCCCACAAAATGTCTCTGGTATATGGCTGTTCATTATTTTTATTATTTTCTTGCCTGGTCCATTATACTCCTGCTATGAGCGAAACCATCCAGTATTTTTCTTTCTCTTTCTGCTTATCTCACTAAGCATGATCTTTTCCAGCTCCATCCAAGTTGCTGCAAAAGACATGTGTTTCTTTTTTTTGGTTGCTGAGTAATATTCCTTGTGTATATGTACCACATCTTTTTTTTTTTTTAAAGATTTATTTATTCGTACAGAACTGGGGTACAGGCCAGAGATGCGGAGGGTGAGAGGATTCACCAGAGACAGAGCAGGGAGCAGAACAGGCAGATCGACGAAGTACACTGCTGAGGGGAGCAGCGGGCGGGTCAGGAGAGGTCTGCCTCGCCATGTGGTCACCTCCGGGGCAGGCGGGAATCGAACTCATGTGGAAGCGGCTTTAGATTCTCAGTGCAGTGCTTTAACCCGCTGCGCCACCAGGGAGGGCCAGTACCACATCTTTTTAATCCAGTCATCTACTTTTGGGCCTTTAGGCTGCTTCCATGTTTTTCCAATGTAAATAAAGCAGCAATAAACATGGGGATGCAGGTATCTTTTTCAATCAGTGTTTTGTGTCTTTTGGGTAGATACCTAGGAGTGGGATTGCTGGGTCTTAGAGAAGCTCCATGTTAAGCAGTTTGAGGAACTTCCAAACAGTTTTCCATAGTGGTTGTACTAGCTTGCATTCCCACCAGAGGAATGCTTTACTTTTTAGTGCTGACATAAAAAATAAAATGTTACTCTCTGATAGCTGTTTTCACTACTACATGGGTATAGATTTTAAGTCCAGAATTCACTGTGATCATTGATTCTTTCAAATACATTATTTACAATTAGGTTTAAGTGCTGCCAAACAATGTTACTTATGATTTTAAGACTTTTCTTTTTGGATAGATTTATTAAAAAAAGAAAGAATCAAAGACATTCTGCAGGCAGGGAGAAGGGAGTAGGATCAAAATGGGTGGGAGGAGCACAAGGGACTATGGTGACGGTACATGGGTGAATTCATGGTGGGAATTTTTTTTTTTAAAGATTTATTTATTTGTGCATATAGAACTGGTGTACAGGCCAGAGACTCAGGGGCGGTGAGAGGCTTCACCAGAGACAGAGTGGGGAACAGAACAGGCAGATGGACGAAGTACACTGCGGAAGGGAGCAGCGGGCGGGTCAGGAGAGGTCTGCCACGCTATGTGGTCACCTTGGGGGCAGGCGGGAATTTAACTCATGAGGAAGTGGCTTTAGCTTCTCAGTGCTGTGCTTTAACCTGCTGCGCCACCATGGAGGGCCCGTGGTGGGAATTTTATGGGGACTATAACCAGGTTGAGAAAGCACACATTGCACAAAATGAAAAATGATGCAAAAAATACAAAAAAGAAAAAGAGAGGAACCTGAATAGTTATAGGTGGGCAGAAGACTCATCTTGAACTTTTATCATGGATTAAAATCACCTAGAAGTTTGCCAGACCCCAAGAGTTGCTGATTTACTGGGACTGGGGAGAATAAAATTTCTAGTTCTAATAAATTCCCAAATGATAATTGATGCTGCTGGTCAGGGATCCCACCTTCAGAACCTGGGTGAAACGTATGGTGTAATTAAAAAAAAAAGTTGTTACAACATTAAGTTAATAGATTCAAGGATGAGAATTAAAAGAATGGGTGTGATCACTTTTAAAAGGTTACTAGTTTACTTCAATCTGTGATGAATCTACAGCATATGATGCACCTAGTTTGTCACCCTCGCCCTTTATCTGCTGGTTGATTTTCCTCTGGAAAGCTTAATTGGTGACTGGTCTGCGGAGAGACTTAGTGTAGTATGGTCATGGCTGGCTTGGTCTTCTTCAACTTTTAAAAGATTGTCCCATGAGTATAAGTTTTTCTATTTCCAAAGATTGTATTTTTGTTGTTGTAATTTATGCCCAGCCTAGTCTTTAGCATATACATCTGGCAGTGGTGTTTATTAAGTTAAATTCACTGAAGAGTACATCTTGCTTATAAGTAATACAAATTCTCTAATGTGTATCTTTAAAAAAAAAAAAAGTAAACCCATAGTTAAAAGCCCTGGATTAACTAGTTTAGCATTTATTTTGTGTGTTGCTGAGATTCCTTCTCCCCTCTCACTGAGGTGTGTTTGCTTGGATGACAAGGAAAGATGGAGTCCTCAGCAGCTGTTGAAACATAGCTTTATAAATCCTCAGCCTAAAATGCCTTTAGTGGAACAAAGTCCTGAAGGTAAGTCTATTACCATACTTTTTTTTTTTTTTAAAGATTTATTTATTTGTACATACAGAACTGGGGTACAGGCCAGAGGCTCAGGGGCGGTGAGAGGCTTCACCAGAGACAGAGAGGGGAGCAGAACAGGCAGATCTATGAAGTACACTGCTGAGGGGAGCAGTGGGCGGGTCAGGAGAGGTCTGCCACGCCATGTGGTCACCTCCGGGGCAGGCGGGAATCGAACTCATGTGGAAGTGGCTTTAGCTTCTCAATGCAGTGCTTTAACCCGCTGCGCCACTAGGGAGGGCCTACCATACTTTTTTGATACCTTGTTTGACATACATTATGTTGGAAGTATACTTAAATCAAAATTGGAACAAACTACATGGATCATCTATGTGTTTTATACTGAGCTGTATACAAGCCCATTTCAGTGTGTGTAGTACATAGAACCCTTTCTGCAACCCTCCTGGTTTTTTCATTCTCTACTGATGGAGTGTCACTGGTATAACCTCTTTTAGTATTTACTAATCCTCCTTGTCATATCAACATTACTGTCAAGTAACCAGCTTTCCCCGCTGCTACTCAGGTAGAAGGTTAAAGAACTTTGGTAGAGGTTGATAGATCAGAAGGCCTAGGTTTGAGTTCTGTCTCTATTATATTATCATTTCTTTCTGTCTCAATAACCCCACCTGTAAATCTGGGTAAATTGTATATTTCAACTTGCAGGGCAAGGTAAAGAAAAGTATTAAAGGTTCAAGGTGATTTTTCTTACTGGTTAGTGTCCCTTCCCATGCTTGCATTGTTGTTGGATATTGTAGCTCTTCCTGTATTTCTAAGGCCTCATATACTTCTTACCCTTTGTTTTATCTCAGATTCTGGAGGACAGGATTATGTTGAGACTGTTATTCCTAGCAACCAGCTACCCAGTGCTGCATTCTTCAGCGAGACCCAGAGACAATTTTCCCGATATTTCATTGAGTTTGAAGAATTACAGCTTCTTGGCAAGGGAGCATTTGGAGCCGTCATCAAGGTACAATGCAGGGCTCTCCCTGGTCCAGTTAAAACTCCTCTCTATTTCTTTTCCATGGACTTAGGGTTTCTACTTGGACAGTAGGGAGGGAAGTGAACATGATCTTTTGAAATTGTGATCATCTTCACCTTCATGGGGTTAAAAGCTTTATTTAAAGTTATACTGTACAGCTTCAGAACAGGTCACCTCTAATCCCTTGCTTGATGTAGTGCATTAGCTGAAACCACATGATTTTAAGAGCACTTCAAGTGGAGTCAAGACCTCTACATGAAGAACATTTTTGTGTACTTTGGTTTAGAAAATTGTCCTATTTTTCTTCCATTTGCTTTTAGGGTTTCTGAGGTAAAAGGGCTGCAAGGTGGAACTCAAATTGGGAAATGGCCCTAGATGGTCTTGATGGTTTTTATTTTACGGAGATGGAAAATTAGTGATAAGTTATCAAGTTGTGCTGTTGTTATGTCTTCCCATCTTCATTCCAGCCCATTTATTGTTTTTTTTTTAAATATAAGTTTATTTTTACATCATTTTGTGTGTTTTTCCATCTCAGTTGTAATCCCTGTGGTCTCCATTTATTGTTATCTACCCTTTGAGAAAAGATGTCAGTTGTTCTTATATAATCTAAGTAGTTTGTTTGGATTTAAGAGACCCAGATTAATACTGTATTTTTAAGTATACTTAACATATATGACATCTTATACACAACTGGCCCCACCATCAGTCAGGCCTAATTTGTTTAGGATTCTGAGAATATGATGAGGAAGTATTACTGCATTATTGTGGAAAGCCTTTCACACTAGAAAAAGGATTGAATTAGGTTTCTTTTGTAGTAATCAGGCACAGGAAAGACAATTTTAAACAAATTTTCCTAAAGGAAGTTATAGATTATGGGAAATTTTCAACTTTGTTCTGCAAAGTATAGGCATTACAGTTAGGAGATTAAATAGATCTACTGTGAACAGACAGGTACTGTGATCAGGTCATCATAGTTCTCTCTTTTTTTTTTTGTTTTTTTTAAAGATATATTTATTTGTGCCTACAGAGCTGGGGTACAGGCCAGAGGCTCAGGGGCAGTGAGAGGCTTCACCAGAGACAGAGTGGGGAACAGAATAGGCAGATCACAGAAGTACACTGTTGAGGGGAGCAGCGGGCGGTCAGGAGAGGTCTGCCACACCATGTGGTCACCTCCGGGGCAGGTGGGAATCGAACTCATGCAGAAGCGGCTTTAGATTCTCAGTGCTGTGCTTTAACCTGCTGCGCCACCAGGGAGGGCCCCATCATAGCTCTCTTTAAGTGTACTGTATGATTGAAGTATTTGTTATCTCTTTAACTCACACTGTAATTTTGATCAAATGCTTTTAATCAAGTCTTACATTTTACATTCTTGAATGTTAAATATTATCAAACTTCATTTCCTTACAATTTCTTAAAAATGATCCATAAGCATACATAACATTTTAGTAACTTGAGCTCCTGCTTTCTTTCTGTAGTTTCTCCCTATAAGAACCCCAATGTCCTCACACCCCTTCTCTCTTTCCAGGTTAGTATTGGCAATGTGGTCAGTGATCTGTATTTTACTAGCGATTGGACCATTACTGCTTATACACCTTTCCATTTTAATCCGTGAGCTTCTAGGAGTTTTCCATGTAGCAATCTCCAAACCCTAGTCAGTGACTCATAAAAGATATGATAAATGCCAAAACGTGAAATTGAAAAACAGTGCCAAGACACTCCACTGTCTTCTGCTCCATTAATTTGGTGGTAAGAGAACACATGGCTATAGCTTCTTGGAGCACATTCTATATTTCAAGTCATATGCCAAGTGGTTTCCAGACCTTGTCTTTCAATCTCAAAACATTCTTATGAAGTATTATCCCAGTTTTCCAGATGTGGGAACTGAGGCTGGGAGAAGTTATGAAATTTGCCTGAGGTTATATACACCCACTAAGATAAAGCTGTCATTCTGACCCACATCTGTTTGCTGTAAAAATGTGCTTTTTTACTCTTTGCACACAAAGAAAGGAAATTTGAAACTCAGTTTTATAGTACACTTTTCTTATTCCTAGATATGTTTCTTTTGGTAAACTAATTAAAACTTATAAGCAAAAAGAGTGATGCCTATTGGTCTTATGTACTCAGGTATGGTTCTCTACCCTTGACCAAGTTGTTGCTTTTTTATTACCTCAGTTTACCTGTATGATAAAATTTATTTCAGTCAACCCATTTGCATAGAGAAACTGCCTAGAATAATGATACCTCTATATAGGTTATCGGATATGGTTATCTTGCCTTTGAGCCATTTTCTTGTGTATTTATTTTACAGTACTCATGTGGTTTCAGTACATATCATCAATCATAAATCCTCTAAGTAACAAAATCAACAGGCAGTAATTGTATTAGTTCTCATTGTATAACCTACTGCACATTTTTCTGTGAGGCTTCACCTAGGCTCATTTCATCTTTACAGTCACTGTTTGAGGTAAGGAAAGCAGTGTATATTCCATTTTGCAAACAAGAAAATTGAGTTTCAAAGAAATTAATTTGCTCAAGTTCACATAACTGTGTTATATGCCAAGAATCAGAATTTACATTCAGAACTGTTAAAATAAATGAGTAGAGAATTTAAAGTCGTCTTCTAAAATAAATGAGTAGAGAATTTAAAGTCGTCTTCTAAAGCCTTACATTGACTTTAAATATAACCTTTTAAAATAAGGTTAAAAAATAAACAAGATTTACTTAGAAATTTAGATAGCAGGACTAATAATAGAAAAGCGGGGATAAAATCGTCAATAAAATTCATAACTAAAATAGAGAATATGTTTTTCCCAGGGTCTCTTAGCCAGCTAAAAACATCTGGGTTGGAAAGAGAGGTTTTCTAGGTTTCTGGTAGCCAAGGCTGCCTTCATCTTAAGTGTTTCCAAGTACGTGGTTCTGAACTGTGGCTACTGGTGTTGCTCAGAACTCCAGGTTCTCCTTAGAAAGGGATGAAGTCAGTGATACAAATGCCAGTCTGTGGAATTCTCACTCTCGGGGTCCCTTCTCTTCCTGGGCGGCAGGTGCAAAACAAGCTGGACGGCTGCTGCTATGCAGTGAAGCGCATTCCCATCAACCCTGCGAGCAAGCACTTCCGCAGGATCAAGGGCGAGGTGACACTGCTGTCACGCCTGCACCATGAGAACATCGTGCGCTACTACAACGCCTGGATTGAGAAGCACGAGCGGCCTGCGGGCCCAGGCGCCCCGCCTCGGGATACGAGGCCACAGGCCCAGAACGGGGAAGCTTTGCCCGGGCTCAAGGAGGATGACAACGACTCCGACGCCCCCGACAGCATCGAAGCCGCTGCCCCGCCGCCCATCCTCAGCAGCTCAGTGGAATGGAGCACATCTGCCGAGCGATCGGCCAGTGCCCGCTTCCCCGCGGCAGGCCCTGGCTCCAGCAGTGATGAGGACGACGACGACGAAGATGAGCACAACGGAGTCTTCTCGCAGTCCTTCCTGTAAGAGCACGAAGCCCCCACGCCATGCCCCCCAGTGTAGCCCCCACCCCCTCCCTATGCCTGGGGCAAGGGGGTTCAGTTAGAAATCCAGTTAAGTTGTACCATGTTGAAAGTATATATATATATATATGTATGAAGCCCATTTTTAGAGGATATCCAAATGCAATGTAAAGGTTTTTTTTTTTTTTCATTGTCTTCAGAAGTTTAAGCCCTGAAGAAAGGAAAATTAATCTATTTAAAAGAGCATGTAATATATTTTAAAGAGCATTCTTTCAAATAAGGGCTTCTCACTGTGTGGAACATTTATGATTTTATTTGGAATCTTGACATAGGGCCAACTGCAGTTCTAAAAAGGGTTACCAAACCATTCATTATGGTTCCTAAATTGTATGCATCTCAGAATCCACTGTGGTTATTATATCTTCTTTGTATACAGATAGATACAGTTATCATACTTTTAGCTATTGAATTATCACAGGGATTTTGGTTTCTACAGTATTTTCCCATTTCTCTTTTTAAGACCTGCTTCAGATTCTGAAAGTGATATTATTTTTGACAATGAAGATGATGAGAACAGCAAAAGTCAAAACCAGGTAAATATATAATAAAAATTACACCTTTTTAATTATGTAGGAGTGGACATGTAAGAAAACTAGTATTTGCTGTTTAAAAAAAGTCCAGGTAGGGGCCTCCCTGCTGGCATAAGGGTTAAGTCTCAGTGCTCTCATGCTGTCACTGCTACTCACTAATTTCGATGCTGGCCAGGGAGGTGACCCATGTGGTGCAGTAGACCGCTCCCATCTCTCCCACTGCTTCCCATATCAGTGTATTTCAGCAGATCCACCTGTTCTCTTCCCCCTCTGGTGAATCCGCTCATCCCCCACACCTCTGGCCTACAACCCAGTTCTTCTGTGCATAAATAAATAAATCTTAAACTATATATAAAAACAAGTACATAATAAAGCCTTAATTTGATAATGCAAATATAGAAACTGTCCATTGTTAAATATAATTATTTGAAATACTTTCTATGAATGCATCTGTTTATAGACCTTAATTTATTCACATTAACAAAACAAGTCTACTTTTAGAAGAGTGGAGCAAATTAATATGCTGTGAGGTTTTTTTTGTTTTTTGTTTTTTTCTTTAATGAAACCATTTCCTCTAAGACTTGGGGAAACTTTACATGGTTGGAAATGAGAACTGGTATTTTCATAAACCAGCCTCATACAGTGTTTCCACACTGCCACAGACCTTGGGCCTCACTCAGTTCTATATCTTGCTCTGTCCAGGACAGCAGAACCCCACTATGCCTGTGAATAGAGTTTAGTTTTAATCTTTTTAATCGGTAGGGGTCTCAGTTGTTACTGCAGAGAAACATTTTACACCGGATGCTTGAAGGCATTATTTTATTACCAGGAGTAAAAAACTAATTACACAAGCAGTTATAGGTATACATTATAGTAGATTAAGAAAGGTACACATGTAGATTCTGTTAGGTAAGTGGTTGAGTTGGAGGAGATTTAAGTGAATTAGTCTGGTTTTGTTAGCACTTCCCTTTTGTGTTAAAATCATCTTGAGTTCCTCTCTGTTTAAATTGGTAAATTAAAATTTTAACCAGGAATAATAACATGAGTAACCTAAATTACTGTTTTTTGGTTTTCGCTTTAGCTATGCATTTAATTATTATGGGGGCACCAAGTTTACAATCGCGGTTTTGCTCAGAGAAGAGCGACATCCTACAGGCATTCTAATTAATGAAGAGAAGCCTCCAAGAGAATAATAATCTTCTGCAGATAATCCCCAGAGAATATAAATGATTCAAGACTAGAGCCTGATTGTTTCTAATGCAGGGCTTTTTGTTTTTGTTATTATTGTTTTCACAAAGGAAAATTGATTAGAAATGCTTACACGCATGCACACACAACTGTTAATGAGAAACAGTCAATGCTTTTTTATACTTAAAGGAAGAAAGTAAAAAGGTACTTAAATGCATCTATTAGAAACAACAATCTTTTAAAAAGTAACCTTGAGTTAGAAAGAAAATTAGCAGACAGATTAGCCTTGTGGAAGAATTGTTAGAAGATCCTCAGTATAGGCCACACAGAGTGCTTGTTCTTTGGAGTGTAGCCCAGAGGGCAGAATGTCCTTTGGTAATATGACACATTTAAATTGTTTTTGCTAACAATGGATTTTAGTCTTGTTTCCAAAATAAGCCTACTTTCAAGGGAAAGCATTCCAGTCAGACTGATGCTTAACTCTTAGCTTATATGTCTCTGTGCTTCTTATCCATAGAAACATCAGTGGTAAGAACTAACTTAACATGTTTTTCTTTACATTGCACACCTTTAAAACTCACCTGTTTTCCCCCTCACTGTTATGTACAATACAGATCTGTAAACCATTCAGTGAGTTCTGGTGGTAGCAAAATTGCTTTTTGATTACTGTAAGATCTAAAGGACAATGGTTATGTTTTGCTCACTGATCTCCTCTGTAAAGCGACAGGATGGGCATTTATGTGGTGTGGGTGGGCACCGATAAATTGATGATAGAGAGTGTCTTATCTAATTTTAACCCCCATTTTGGTTTCTTGTATGTTCCTCTCAATTAGTATGGAGACTGCAATGGAAAGAACGCTTGCCATGAAAGTGAAGCACCAGTGACCACTGCAGCTATACACTACTTGTATATCCAGGTGAGACCCCTGTAGACAGTATAGCAACATAACAACTCCCTGGCATTGCTATTGGGTATGTTACAGGTGACTAGCACAAGACAAATGAGCTTAAGAGGGTTCATTGACACCACCAAAGGGACAGTATGCAGTCACTTTGTCTCAGCCTTGAACTAATTCAGCCCTTCCTGTACCACAGCAGGAAATGTTATAGGGCAGCGGTTATGGCCTCTGGACTCAGATTATGCAAGTTCACATCCTTCATCCACCAGTTACAGCTGTGTGAGCTCAGGCACAGTTCTACAAAATTCTGTACCTTCCATTTTCTGTACCTTTCATTTAGCTATCTCTAAATGAGAAAATATCAATGACTTGGGAAGAATAAAGGAGTAATGTGTGTGACATGTTAGAACCATATCTGGGTTCCAGAAATACTAGACTGTGTATTTATGGAAATTTCACTTGGTCCAACAAGCTGAATCTGGAACAATGTGCTCAAAGACTTTTTGTGCAGAAGAAACACTGACGTGGCTGAAGCCAAAGTGACTAGTTCCAGAATCCAGAACCATAGGCAAACCAGTCCCAATGAGGGAAGCCCACAGGCCTCTGCTTGCTCTCACATGTGTGAGGGTGGTGGCCTGCGTAGTGAAGAGCTCTGCCACCACCCAGAAGGGAAAACGTGCTTCTGTCCTACCTGAATATTATTATTATTTTATTATTAATGACCTGAATAGTCATTATTAGTGTTTTCAGTCATGTCTGCAAGTAGGCAGGTCCTGAAAACAAGGGCCATATAGAAGAAAGGATGCTCAGACAACTGCAGTATTTCAATAGGTAGGTGCTTTCCTGGTGTCAGAGTATATTGTAGGTATTTACCGAAAATAAACATCTTTCAGGTGGCACACATGTACCTTATAATGCATTTGTGCTCTGACCCACTAATTGAGTTTTCTGCCAATTGTCATTACTCTATAAGTCTGATGAAACTGAAATCAATAGCTGAGATATGTGCAAGAGGTGGTATGATCATGGTGTGGAAGTCAGAAACCCTTGGGAAGCCTAGTGGATGTGTCAGCATGTGTAGATGGTTATTCTAACCAGGAGAAGGTGAAGCTGTCCCTCTCCCTTAAAACAATAAAAATCTCTCTTCCTGAGAAATCTCAACTCTGGCACTGGCTGGAAATATGTATAGGCTAGTTTCAGAAATCAAATGCTGCATATTGATTTAAAATTGAAAATGAGGGTCCTCCCTGGAAGTGCGGGGGTTAAATTCTCAGTGCCATCAAGCTATTGCCAGCCACTTGAGGCAAGAGTTTGGCCTGAGTTTAAGCCCTGGCCAGGGAACTGACCCACATAGAGCTCAGCAGACCTCTTCTGTCTCACCCACTGCTCCACTCAGCAGTGTATTTCAGTAGATCTGCCTGTTCTGTTCCCCACTCTGTCTCTGGTGATGCTCTTAACCCCTGCACCTCTGGCCTATACCCCAGTTCTTCTATAAATACACAAAAATAAGTCTTAAAAAAAAAGATTTAAATGATACTACATTGTTTTCTGATACATTAATACACTTACAAATGGAGGAGATAGAGCCCTTTTGTGACTTTTTTTAATTGATGTTTCACTCTCTATAGCCTTAAAAGTCATTGTCATTAGTTATTAGTTATATCACAAAAGAGAAAGGCTAATGATGGCATTAGAATAATTAGCCCAGAGATTTGGGGTTGGAAACAATTTCGTAAAACAAAAAATAGAATTTTACTCAGTATATTCATATTTGTGGCAAGGATTTTAAACAAGTCCTGTTTTAAATGAGCAATACGTGAAAAATAAAATTGGTTAGGTTGGGGTGCTAAGATTATGACTCTATCCCCTCAAGCTTTTGTGTTTTTTTGTTTAATGCCGCTGGTTGCTTTGTTCAGTCTTAAAAAAAAAAAAGCAAAGCAAAGCCTTTCCCTGAACTATTTAAAATTCATAACATGTGTTTTGAAGTGGAGGGCTACATTCAATACAGTTTTCCACCTTAATTGAAACGATAATCAAATCCATTCCCGCCTGGTTTGTTCTCTCTGCAGATGGAGTACTGTGAAAAGAGCACGCTACGTGACACCATTGACCAGGGCCTGTATCAGGACACCACCAGACTCTGGAGGCTGTTTCGAGAGATTCTGGATGGATTAGCTTATATCCATGAAAAAGTAAACTTGACAACATTTTATATATACTTCAACTTACCATTACGTAAAACTTATGATGAATAAAATAATTCAAATATTGGACGACTGGAGAAAAGCAGAAATAGAGAGGGAAATTATGTCTACTGGTACCTATTTTTATAGGAAATAGATCAGCATGTCAGAAGACAAAGTAGTGCAAAGTTTCACAGTTCAAAGAAAACATTGAAGGTTCAGATAGAGGTTGGCAAACTATGGAGTAAATCAGTCCCTACCTGCTTTCGGATAACCTGTGAACCAAGAGTGACTTTTATTTCTTTTAAAATGGTTTTTATAACTCTAAAGAAGAGTACATGGTGGTTACCTATCTCTTGCATGACTGGGTTTGTGCTGTGGCTGTAGGGTGGAATGGTTGCCATAGAGCCTGTGTGGCCGCCGAAACCTAAGATATTTACTCTCTGGCCCTTTACACTGGACAGCCTGTGGTTTAGGAGAAGATAATTGAACATATGTGAGGGTGATTCCTGAATGGTTTGGAATAAAGGGAGAGTATAATTAGTACATGCCAGGTTATTTCATTTTCATGGATATAACCTTGCCCTTCTCGGGAACATCTCCTAGCAAGGATCAAGATGAGATTCTGAGTAACACAGATTGCTATGCGTATCAAATGTCATTTTAAAGCTAGACATTGCCATTACAATGTAAACATAGGTTTAGTGTCAGGATAAAACACTGCTTACATTTCTTAAATGGAAATATTTAATGCACTAGCCAGAATAAAAATGTTTTCTCCTTTCCTCAATTTTCTTTAACTTTAAAATGTTTATAAGGTACCATATTTGTACTAAAAAGTTAGGACTGTAACTTATACGTGTCTAGTTTATAAATAATTCAGTTGAAACTGAATTTGCAGGTTAAAAGCAAAAATGAGTTCTAGAGCTCTCTGCCTGCTTATGACTGCATATTGCCTCTCTTTCTTCTTTTTCTAATAAACCTGACCTTTCATAGTGTTAAAAAAAAAAATGAGTTTTTATGATGGCCATTAGAACTCTTACTGTGATGTCACCCCAGGGCCCTGTGTTCTCTTCTCATTTTAAGTTGCTTAGTATTCGTTAGGCATTTTTGGGTGTCTGTCTGTACCACACCTAGAAATAAAGAGAGAGACAATTGTATAACAAACCTCATATTTGAAAGAGACTTTTATCTTTTGAGGGAGCCAGAATTTTCCTTCATGTAACAGTAAAAAAGGTCAGACACTAACGTGTTTCCTACATTTAATTCCCTATGATTTAATACCTACAATAATAAGCATTATGAAGATGCTGCTGGGAAGGGGAGAAAGCAGTGTTCATGTAACAGTGACTGAGCGCCTACTGTGTGTTCTGGGGTTGCAAACCTGAATTGTTAGAGTTATTGTGGAAGGCTTCATATTTGTGTGGATACTTTGAATGTTAGTATAATTCAAATAAATAGGGAAAAGCAAGAATTTCCCAGGCATGGGATACTAGTGTAAAGAAAAGGATAAGAGAAGGGATGAAAACAGTGTGTTATCCCCTTGATAAGAGCAGGAGCTTTGTGGTGTAGCAGAAAAGATAGCTGTGAACCTGTTGGAGGGACCTTAGATGCTACAGGGAACCATTTGGATTGGACCTAGTCAAGACCACCAGCTGGACATGACGCCCAGGTCATTGGCAAGATAGTGGAGACTGCGGTGGCCACACAGCCTGAGCCAGTGGGAGAAGACCTCGTTGTGATTTTCGTCACTAATTTGGCTTTCACATTAGGAAATAGGTATAATCATAAATGATGCCTGGGAAATAGTTGTTGGCTTCTTGGTTCTCTTGCATTAGGGAATGATTCACCGAGATTTGAAGCCTGTCAACATTTTTTTGGATTCTGATGACCATGTGAAAATAGGCGATTTTGGTTTGGCAACAGACCATCTACCCTTTGCTGTGAGTATTTGTTCAATTAGACTATGCCTGAAAATGGACCCAAATGGTAAGCATGCCCTCTGCTGTGTAATCTCCAGGAAATTATACATCTGGAGGGAGGTAGGGAGGGTGACTGAAAATGATCTTTTAGGCTTTGAAATTGTGGACACATTTTTAGTCAGTGCATTCTACTTGAAGGGCATAAAATTATTGGCTGTGGATGATATTTCAGCCAAAAGCATAGAATAATTTATAAGATAATTGACTATTTTGGACTATTATGTGAAGCACTTTATATTGAGAGCCTTTGCTTAGTTTAAGGAAATAAGGCTCAAAACACAACATCAAAACCAATCCTGAACACCTGTTCAGAAAATGTTCTTTATATCAGAACTATTGTTTACAGTAATTATTGTTGAACATACAGAATTAAAGTTTAACCTATAGTAATATGATTTTCATAAAATAATGTGACATGAGGGAAATGGGGGTGTAAGAGAAAGGGAGAAAATTTACATTTTTTAAGGATAACAAAAACTGTATAAAGAAAACAACATTTTGGTCTGGCTCTACAGGATGGGTGGGAGTCCAGCAGACTTAGATCAAGAATAGGGCATGGTGACACTAGAGACAGGGATTCCAGAGAGAAAGAAGAGCATAAGCAAGGCCCTGGATGATTAGGCTTGGCTGAAGGCCATCACGTTGTCTGGTAGGTGAGAACTATGAGTATAGGGGAATGTTGAGAGAGGACACCGCGATGCTAGGAGTCTTGTCGGTGATAGACTTTTGAGTGCTGGGAAAGAGACTGACTTAACATCACATGCTATCAGTAGTAGACAACCAAATCTGTAGTGAATGCAGCTCATCCAAGGGTGATCAGAAAGAAAATGGTACTTGGATTAATGGCAAGAATACCCACCGGGATTAAATTAGAAGGCTAGGTTAGAAGGAGCAAGGACGGGAAGAATGGAAAGGGTCCAGTGAGAACATAGTCTTGACCAGAATAGCAAGGCATTCTGAAAAGTGCAAAGACCAAGGAAGAGCCCAGGGATCTTGACCCCCAAGATGATAGAATTTAACGCACTGTCTACAAGGCTGTAGCATGTGTAGTAGAGAAAAGCACAGGCCTAGCGGCCCCCTGATGAGGACCAGCGTTTCATGTCTGCTACTTCTTTGTGGCATGACCTTGTGCAAGTTAATTATTCTCTCAATATCTCATCATAAAATGTGTCTTATGTTAGTAGCTACTTTAGAGCATTGTCAGCAGGATAAAATAAGAATGCAGGTAAATCACCTGGAACAGTGTCTGGCCCTCAAAATGTTACAATTGCTGTGATTGGTGGTGGCTGCATTTATAATAGGAACTTATGGATGTCAGAAAAATAGCTCTTTAGGCTCATTACATTTGAATGGTCATCATACTCACAGATATAGTGGCAGAAGGTGAGATAACCTAATAGGTGTTAGCAGTGATGGTGAAATAGATTTGGTGACCATCCTATAGGAAAGAAGAATAAAAATAGATCCAAACAGGCCCTCCCTGGTGGCGCAGCAGGTTAAAGCGCAGCACTAAGAAGCTAAAGCCACTTCCACATGAGTTTGATTCCCGCCTGCCCCGGAGGTGAACACATGGCGTGGCAGACCTCTCCTGACCCGCCCGCTGCTCCCCTCAGCAGTGTACTTCGTCGATCTGCCTGTTCTGCTCCCCACTCTGTCTTTGGTGAAGCCTCTCACCGCCCCTGAGCCTGTGGCCTGTACCCCAGTTCTGTATGCACAAATAAATAAATCTTAAAAAAAAAAAAAAATAGATCCAAAGAAGTAGCAGCAAGGGGAAACTTAGAAAGTGAATTTGTTATCTTTTTTTTTTTTAAGATTTCTTTATTTATGCATACAGAACTGGGGTACAAGCCAACGGTGCAGGAGGATGAGAGGTTTCACCAGAGACAGAGTGGGGAGCAGAACAGAACAGGCAAATTGATGAAGTACACTGCTGAGGGAAGCAGCAGATGGATCAGGAGAGGTCTGCTGCACCATGTGGATCCACTCCCTGGCCGGGGATTGAACTTGTGCTTCCATAGATTCATAGTGGCTTTAACCTGTTGCACCACCAGGGAGGGCCTGAATTTGTCATCTTTTTAATATATGCTTCCTCTTCTAAGTAAAGAGATTATTTTGACATTTGCCATATGAAAATAGATTTCTGTAGGTTTGTTCCATGAAGGAGTTCTATAGTGAATGGCTCTCCTCCATGGTTTCATTGGGTTCCCAGTGAACCCTGCATTGGTGAGCAAACTAAATTTTAAAAATGTGAACCTCAAGAATGTCATTATAATTTCAGTCTAATATTTTTCAGTCAGCCTTCACTTAGAAATCGATAAGCCATTCCTGTGGAGTAATGTAACATTTTCATTTGATGCTTGGTTTACTTATATTTTTAGGCTGATGGCAAACAAGATGATACGACAGATCACTTGATTAAATCAGACCCTTCAGGTAAATCCAAGGGGCTGTATATTTAATTAGTGTAATGTAAAACAGACCACAATTTTTTTCTTTTGGCTTATTTTTCCATACAAAAAGCTCTACATCTGTAATATATGCAGCCTTAGGAAACCATCACCAAATTATATGCTATAAATATATCCATGACCTCTAAAAGTTTCCTCCTGCCCTGTCGTTATTGGTGATAAGAACACTTAACATAAGATCTGTTCTCATTTTAAAAAAAAAAAAAAGGAAATTTTTACATAATTAAAACAGTATACACTATCTTAATTTGAAATCTGTTTTTCATTTGTGAAGATTTTTATCTTAAAAGCAAGTTATAATTATTCACTGAATAATTATATTCATTGAATTGGCAATATTATGAAAATGCTTTTTGCTATACTAGTTGTTCTGTAGACTTCTACAAAATTAGGGTTTGTTAGAATCATTGGCACGTGCATATACAGTTGCACCTTATCTGACCACATGTGGTCATGTGAGATTGGGTCCTGACTGGGGCCATGCGGGGTCTTCCTGTTTGCCTGCCCCTCGCAGCTGTAGCAAAGGCATCCTGTGTGGAGCAGAGCTCATGGGCCTGCAGGGCTGGGGGTAAAATCCATGCTGCCTTTTCCTGTGAATGGGGTAAACAATACACAGATCATGCCTTACTCTTAAGACATCCCTTATTCTCCCTTTTTAAATAAAAAAAAAATTGTTTCATCTCTTACCTCTGCATTCTGTTGTTGAAAAGCTTTCCATATGCCTTCTCCCACACAGGTCATTTGACTGGCATGGTTGGCACTGCTTTGTATGTAAGCCCAGAGGTTCAAGGAAGCACCAAGTCTACGTACAATCAAGTAAATGGGAACCCCCCCCTTTTTTTTTT